AAATACTGTACCTTTTTATGACATATCAACAAATGATTTCTAATTTCCATAGTTTCCTGTAAATAGAGGACAGGTATAGACACGGATAGACGTATGGGTTGGTCAGCGGTATTACGGATACAAATAATAAGCAAATGATAAAAATTAAAAACAAAACAATTAGTCACTAGAAAATGCATACCATTATAATCAGCGTATAGTAGTTAAGACATTGCAAACATAACACAGAAAATTAGACCAAAAGCCACAGTATGTGTTAAATACGAGACATTATTAGACACAGCATTTGTATCGCTGTAGCGTTTGTATAGAGATTTGCAAAATTGAAAAACATTTGCCACAAAAGTATAGTTGGCTTTCGAGTCCACAAAAACACAGCAAATATCTGCAAAAACCTGAATAACTCTCACTTCTATACTATGCTATGCCGTGTGTTATATCACTTAATGACGAGAGAAATGTATGTATTTTTTGTTGTATATTTTCATGACATGTTGTGGCACTCAATGAGAGGGAGAGATAATTGAGTAAAACATATGAAATATTAATATAAGAGGAAAATTGGATTTTAAAAATCAATACATTAGAAGTGAGCAGAGTTTTTGAGGACAGCCATAGAGATAGCTATTATATACCAAAGCTATGGAAAAGGACTGACATTTCATGGCAATAGTATTGACAGAAAATGATGTTTTACGAAAAGTTACTAAAAAATTAATCAATTTTTAATGTCTCGCCAAAACCCATGCAAACATTCGCGTAAACAATATAACCATTAAATTCCCGTTTAGTTTTAGACAAAAGTATCACAAAATCATCATTAAATTCAAATCATTTGTAAAAAAGCATTATCTGAACAGCACTTACGGATAGCTCCGACTCCTTGTCCAACGACAAGTGGATGCGCTTATGAGGCACTTCTTCAGCACCACTTCTGTGGCGATGTCTCTTCGACTTCTTCTTGCGTTTCCTGTCGTTATGACCGCTAATAGTATTATCACAAACGGATTCGCCGGCACTGGACGGGCAGCCATCAGTCTTCACGGCGGGCGCGACGGTGTTCACCAACGCCGGTGTCTTGAGAGCCATGAGCGCCACCGCAGCCCTATTATCCTCAGCGGTATTATCATCGACTACTGTGGCGGGAGGGGCGGCTACTGTGGCCGCTGTGATGGTCGTAGTGGTGGCCACCG